GTCATAGATGTGAGCCACAGTACTGCCCTTGTGCCAAAATGCATCGATCAGTTCCTCTTCAACTCACAGTTTGTGCCGTACAACCTGTGCTTGACCCAGATGTTCTTCATCCACTCCTTCCACACCATAGAATCGTATTCTTTGGTTATCCTGGCTTTTGAGAGGCTGGTCTCCATCTGTTTTCCCCTGCGGAGCAGCACCATCATCACCAACACCCGAATGGTGGGCATCATCGCTTTCTGCTGGGTCCTGGCCTTTACTCTTCTGGCTACAATGGTAGCTCTGATCACTCGCCTGTACTTCTGTAAGCCAATTCCCGTCGTGGTAAGCTACTTTTGCGATCATGGTCCAGTGTTTAAAATGGCCTGTAGTGACAACACTGTGAACTGGAGGATAACTAGTCTATCACTGATTGTTGTCATTTTTTTGCCTCTGGCATTCATCTTAGCCTCGTATGTGTGCATTGTCATCGCCATCTCCCGAATCAATTCTGCCGAAGGGCGATGGAAGGCAGTGAGAACCTGCACCGCACACCTGATTCTGGTAGCAATGTTTTTCATGCCCATCCTGGTGATTTACACCATTGCATGGATTAACATCACAGTTGACGTTAACACCCGAATTCTTAACACATCACTGTCACTGGTCTTACCTGCCCTCCTGAACCCTATCATTTACTCGCTGAAGACAGAGGAGGTGATGGAGCAAATTAAGAAGCTTCTACGAAAGCATGTGATAAGACCAAAACAGTACTTTTAGTACATCCTCAATTATGACCTCGAATAGAACGGTAGAAAGGTAAAGTATATACTATATATTGAGACAAACATTTAACTAAATAAAATAGGAACTCCATATGCCTGTTCCGAATTTCCTACAAATTCGACTTAGATCTGATTTGTAACCAGTCTGTAACTCTGTCTCCTGCCTTACCAGCCCATTCCCAAGAAGGCATTACACCTGTAAATAGGAGCTATATCTGAATTTTCCTTCCAGTGATTTTATTTCCATCAATTTCTCTTTTGATTTTACATGTAACAGCCAGTGTTATTTAAATGATAAACATGTAATGTCATGCATTTGTATACTTCTGTCAAGCTTACCTGTTGTCTTAGTGTGTCTTGTGATTGCCGGTTATCCCACCCTGAATGCCCACATGTCTTGCACCTGTGTCTTACCCTTTGTATGTAAGGTCTTAAGCCTGAGCTGTAGGTTGAGCATTTGTTGTGTGTGGTTGTGGGATCCTGGACTCAGCATATGCATCCTGGTTTCCCTGTAGATGTTCTTGGCTGCCATGAGACAGTTGTGTATGTGCTTTGCATAAGTAACATTACTAAGTGATATTTTCCAAGACGAGGTTGGATTTTCTTTGGTAAAATGAAAAAAAAAAAAAAAAACACAGATCTGTAAATTCAATAAACGGAAATG